CGTCTCCGTCGGGAAGAGAAGCAGACGAAAGATGAGAGAGACGATACTCTACCACCATTTATCGGGTCGGATCTGATTCTTTCTCAATTATGGGTCGACCCGAATATTATAAAACGGGTTGGGCCTAGTTCAGTCCGTTATTTTGTAAGTTGTAAGGATATATAAAAAAACATTACTTTTTTTTTCATTTCTTTTCATCTTTCGCCTATATAAACATTAACTTTGGCAGAGTACATGTAGTACGGTGATTTACACACCACCCAACTGGCACTATGATCTGGGATTCGATCCCCACCTTCTCCCTCTGAGGAGATAATAGGCCAGTGGGCCGGCCGTTGTGGCCCACATGTCGACAAAAAAAAACATTAACTTTTAGTGTTGGAATATAGATAAAACAAAATTTACTTTTCTCCTTACTCATAAAAAATGTAATTAATTATGGTTTGTTCGTTTGGATGTCGTTGTCTATGAAATGACTACAGCTGTTAATAGGAGGAGAAGAAAATGAAAAAAAAAAATCAGTAAATGGTTTCTTAAGGTTGGTTTAGCAGCTACTTAGCTTCATGTGACCGTTTTGGTAAATTTTCGTTACATTGCGGTATTATTAGTAGACTCTAGGATTTAGGAGGCTATTTTGTAAATTTCAAAACTATTAACCCCCATTTTACAAATGTATCCCTAGATTTTACATATGTTTATGATCATCGTCTAAAGTTTAAACAAACAGTTATTCGGCTTCTGATAACTAGGCATGATTAGAAAAATCTAGATTTATTTTATTGGGCTTAGTTTAAGGCCCAATAAAATGGGTTTTGGCGGGAAAATCTACTAATATCCTTATTCATTTTAGCGATTTTGTAAACTTCATTTTACAGTGTTCTCTTCAATTTTATTTTTTATAGGTCTTTGATTCTATGGTTGAATAGTGAAACAGAGTGTTAGTATTGATTTTGTGAAATTTATCTTCGTTTTTCGATTAAAAGATGGAGATGTTATGGAAGAAGCAAGGTAAATCGAAACCTCATTGAGAATTTGAGATTATTATGAAATTTTTATTTAGCCATTGATGACCAAAATAATATACATGTATAACACATTGTAGTAATAATAACTGCACAATTTTTCTCCAGCTCTATCTCTATCTTCAAAGCAGAACCAGAGACAAAAACAATCAAACATTAGAAACTTTTTATATTCTTTTCACTCGAGAGTTTCCATTTGGATCACCACCCCATGCCTCAAACACAACTACAAGGTTCTGTGACTTTAGCCATAAGCGAGGCACAGGATACCTGCAAAAAAACAGAGAGAGAAATGAACCTTATGAACCAGATTTGGACTAGAGAAATGAACCTTATAAAACCCAATGGTTGAGTAGGTGTAACCAATTGTGTTTAGAAGGTGTAATCTATTGGGTTTCTAATATATACTTATTTTATCAAATTTCATCCAATTTGTTATTTATTTAAATATTATATTCGTAGATAAATAATGAACCTGTGAAACAACAACACATGGTATTAGAGCACCTCTATCCGTTCAAAACTTCAAAAGAGTATCTTAAACATTTAGGGGTTCTAAAAAAATTAGAGAGGGTTGTATAACAAAAACATCTTCTCTCTCTTACCTTTACAATTTTATTAATTTTTTTTTCCTTAAATAATAAATACCATGCAAGATATTTTTATTGGGGGTGCTTTAAAAGTCTCTTCATTTCAGTAAAAATTAAAAATATCAAATAAAACGAGACAATTTTTTCTTAAAACATTTTTTGATATGAAAAAGGGAGTATATATCTATGATTGACACATTAAAAAAAAATGCATATATGGTAGAGAGACTCTCACATTTATTCCAGAAAAGTTGAGTGACAAGAGTGAAGAATATTGCTTAAGCAAATTGTATTCGAAGGTTTATATGTTAGTAGGGGAAGTCCAATGATAACAGATTATGAGAAACGAAATGGCAAGTCGATATGTTTGGTTTTTATGCGTAATTATAGTA